CAGACTATGGAAGTTGCGAGATTCTGAAAATTCTAGGTTCCGAAGTTTCGAGATTTTTATCTTCGACGTCCTGACCTTTGATATCACTAAAATTCGAATTTTATGTTTTTTCTCAGAGCGCCATCCGGGTGGACAAGGCCGAGATGCCATGCCATCAGCAGGGAATATCAGCCCCGCAAGTTGGCGGTCACGTCCGCAAGCTGGAGTGGCTTGACACACGCAAAAGGGGCTCTATGGAGTCGACGTGGTGCATCAATTTTCTTTTGTTCTTTTGAGCGTTATTGGGGTTTAATTCGATAAATGCTTGCTAGCGGTGAGATGTTTACGCCTTTTTTTTCTACTTTTCCGTTTTTTATTACGTAGGAGTAATTCCGCAAAAATTATGTGTCTTGACAGACAGCCAAATTTATTCCACGCGGGGTTCAAAAGCAGAGTCGTTGTTTTTCCGTGACCGACGACAAATTTGTTCGCATTTGGAATGAGCCGCCTCTTTCACTTCTTCCTGTTTCATCTCATCTACTTACTAGTAGCTGCCGAGGCTCCGTCGATGCGTAACGTTACGGTCTGTTCTTTGCAAAATATAGGAAAACATTAAGACAACCAAAAATCAAAAAACACTAACCGATTTATTAAGCTTGTCGCAGTAGTTTTTAGAACAAATAATCAGCGTTTTAAAGCCATCCTTTTTGCTGGGATTGAAACCGTTTTTCGTTTAGCTACGCGGTGATGGATGGATCTGCGTCGATGGGCAGCGTCCAGTAAGTGGGATCAAATTTTCAAATTTCTCGAAAGATCAGCGTCACGCTCGTGGCGAAGGACTCAAGCTCACAGGAAGCTGAGGTGCCGCTGCCGTGCTTATGCAAGTATTTGTTTCGCTGAACTTTTAGGACGGCTCGAGTGGTAGCTTAAATGACTTTCAAAAATTTCGATCTATTTAATTTTTATTGTATTTATTTATTTTTAATTCAAGTTTTTAGACGACTGCAAGTTCACATTCTTTCTCCATGCCAACCGGGTGATACACATTTACGTCTACTTTCAGTGTCCAGGTGGCCAGGTAAACACGAGGTCTACTTTTCAATATTTATCAGGTTATGCCAAGAGGGTACTGCTGGACGACCTTATTTCCTGATCCCAAGGACGGGGAACGACCCGACCCTTACGAGTGAGGTATTTTCTGAAAAATTTTTGTAAAATGTAAAACTTGTAAAATTCGTAACAAAAACCACCTTCTCCAGAGTAATGTTATTTGGGATGGTTGGCGCATCGGTCGCGGAAATGCATGGAAAGCCGATCCTCTATGCGGCAAGGAAGCGGGTGGCCGATCGGATCGTTTACGGGGAAGCTATGTTGGCTTGACGCTACGTTGGCTTTTTATATTAATTTAGCCAACTCGGCAACTGCGCCATCTGAAAGACATCGGCGCCGACTTTAGAGATTTTTTCAGAAATTTTTCAATTCCTTGAATAAACACTTGTGTTTCAAGTAACAGTTATAAATACTCCCGGACTTCAATTTCGAGCTTTCGTACTTTTTCAATCATTTCTTAACCTCGGTTTTAGCAAAAGCTCCCTCTTCAGCGAAAACTAAAAGTCTCTAATTCAAAAAATTTTAACGGCTGCAAGTTCGACTCGGAAGCTGCGCCATCTAATGACATCTTCATTAATTAGCTTATTACCAGGTTTAAAAGGCGGATTTGCGCCTTTTCAAACCTGGTGCCGTCGGATCCCATGATATTCGAGGCTTTGCATAATTCTCTCCAGACGCCTGGATTTGGCTATATAATTTATGCGACTCTCGGATAATTCATGTCCGGGAAATTCCATCCCCAAAGCCGTCAAGGTTTTTAACATGGGTACATGCAAATCAGCGGTGTGTTCATACAAAAAACCCCCCTCTTCGGCACGGTATTTCCGCGCGTTCTGAACGACAAAATGATTTTTCTCCCGGAACGCGTTCTGCTACTATTTGGGATATCTACGTTGATTCTCCCAATCGCCGTGTCGGACAATGAACCTCCAGGTTCATTCAAAAATTAAGAATAACGTGATTTGCCCCTTGTATGGCGACATAGAGAACTTTCAATAAAATAAAACCCTCACTTGTCTCTTTGCGAAGGTTTAAAACATTGAGTTGAAAAATGCAGTTCAAAAATATAATTTGCATAATACCTTTTATAACTTGCGGTTTATTGAGGAGGTATTTCTATAATTTGTTGCTTTTTAGAAAATGGCGTGAACGCCGAGGTACGGGGTGTCCTGGCCGATCTGGGTAAGCTGAGTTTACCCACTGACACTGTTGAATGACAATTGTTTTGCAAGGCATCGAATAATGATATTTCTCCGGCCGGGCTTGTATAAATGAATTAATTTAGTTATGGAGGCTTTACACCCGCCTGAAGTCGTAAAGTCGGGACGGATCACGATAGAGGAAGTATGTTTCAAGCAAAGCTTTTGAGTCGAAGAAAGTAGCCAAGTTCAAAAATATTTGAGGTGGAACAGTCAAAACATTGGTTGCGGGTCAACGATAGTTTAGCCAGCGAATTTTATAGTGGAGAGGCATCCGACGCGAAAGACGGTTGTTTGACGCCGCGTTTAAAAAATGGGTCGACGACCATCCAGGGGACAGACTTGATTGGGGCCAGACAATACACATGCAGAAGATAGTGAACGTCCGGGATATGGTGCAAGCAAAATTTTTCGATGAAAGCGCCCTGGTCCCGAGGTAAAATCCTATTAGGTTGGAATTAAGGTTCGTACAATCGACCTTCGGAAATCACTTTCCAAAAATTTAGTGGGCAGATACATGTGTTCTTTCCATATATCTATTGGATACATGAGTAGGTGGCATGGAAATTTCAGATTTTTAGCCCTAATGAGCCCCAGCGGTTGTTAAGATTTTTGCTATTCCATCGCATCAGGAATTTTTGAGCCGGACATCTTTCCGAGCCGCCATAAAGTTATCATAGGAACTGATCATTATGAAAAGAAAACATTATATTTACTGACAGCATACCTAATTTACTAGAAGACATCTTGCCATCTTCGCTTAAATCCAGCTCTAAAAATTCTACTCGGAAAGCAGCAGAGAGCATTCTATGGCACATCCGTTCATTGAAAAACATTTTGTTTCTGACCCGTTTTCAGGTCCTAATATTAGAACGAATGAAAAAAAGTTGATCGAACTTTAGTTCGAATCTAATATTTCTTGTGCAGGCGCGGTCGGCGAGTACACCGACGTTTACCTACTTTTTTAAACTGTTTCATTGGTCACACATTTTGTTTTCAGGATGCGCCGCTACGCGCACGTCTTTGACGGATATCATGGGGACTTGAAGTGGGGGTACAAATGCCTCGAGGTAAATTTTTCCAACGCCGCTTTCCAATCTCTTGTCAAAATTTTGGCTGCGATGACTTACAGACCAAACGAGTGTCTTTAAGGGCTTATGCTAAAAATGGGCATTTAAGCCGGAGCTCTGCGAGATCATGAACTACCGGTACTTCTCCGTCCTCTTCGCCTGGTTGCCGCGTGACCCCATCGTTAACCTCACCCTGGTCGAGCAGCGGGTTACTGATTATAAATCGAAAGCCAGGGCGCGCCTCGCCTCCGAGGACTGGCAGGTGGGTGGATGGCAGCTGGTAAAAATTCTTGTTGGGCCTTGGCCGCGCCAACTGCTAATTGAATCAGTATTGCCACTGTTACCTTCTACGGACGCGCTTTCTTTATTTAAACCATCGTAAGCCCGACACAGGACCAGAACAAACCCGAAATTTCCGGGGGAGGGGGGTGGCAAAAAATTTTGACGACGTCTCCCCTCCCCCGCCGACACTTTTGTGAAATGGCCGGGAAACGTTCTTAAAACTCGATAATAGCGCCGCGTCCTTCCATTTTGAAAAATAGGCGAAAGAAAACCCTAGAATTGGAAAATCGCAGCCAGAAAGAACTTTTGAAACAAAAAAGCGCCGTCGTGAAAAATTTCGTGAAAAATCATAAGAACCGCCCCCTCCGCCCCCCGTCTCTTACAGGCCTGGCCCGACATAATCAAAAACTTACTAAATTTCAAGTCGGGTTCAACCGGGAAATTGTTTATCCAATTTACGAAAACATCGATCCGGTTTTCCAGCGACGTGGTTGAGAACATGGCACTTCAACATTGACATCGTCGACGAGTTCTTGCCAATCTACTTTGGGGTAACTACTTTATTTAAATATTATATACCTGATCCGCAAGAAGCAGTGTCACCCAAGGAGGGGTTGTCAATGGAAGTAATCGGCGGACCA